ATCTGTTACCTGTTGAAGAGTCAATCTCTGACTCCTTTATCTTTCCTGCTGATAAATCTTCATCTTTTCCCTCGTCTAAAAATGACAAGAAAGGTGGCTTTAGTGATCGTCATTACCATCGGTATCGTCGTAACTATTATCATTGTGATGATGATGATTATTATTATTATTATCATTGTCATTATCAGTACTGTTGTCATCATCGTCATCATCATCTTCGTCACTGTTATCATTAATTATTATCATAATTATTATCGTTATTATTATTAGACTTAAGATATCGGTCCCAGGATCACCCAGGTGGTGTTACACCAGTTTATTGTGTGTGGTCTCTTATAGAAAACTTGATTGTTGGACTAACAAGATAATTAAGTAGTTGTCCATCATAAGGACAAACCTCTGATGTGAGGTATAGTATGAAAATCCAAACCAAAAACCTAACAGACATCGAATCGTTCTTTTTCTCTTTTACCTGATGAGCTGTGGTCAAGATGGTCTTGTTTTCCATCGGCTGCTTCAACTTTTGCTTCTGTGGTAACTCAAAATAACAAAGAGTGTTGTAATGTAAAGTCATTTGTAATGAAAATTCGAAAAATTTTTGTTTTCTCTGCTGAAGATATTTGTGGGTTTTTCCCTGGACGTTTCCATTTTAATACTGAAATAATGAAAGAGACTGAAAAGCTAAAAATGTCAAAATTTTCCCTAACTCGTTTTTGCTATTTGGAGCTCACCGAATAATTCTTTTTCGAATTTCGGTACAAATATTGAACAAATAAAACTAACTCAGTCCTTTCAGTCTGTTTCTGACGGTCTACTGACTTCTTTGCATCGCAAAGTTTTTGACGAATCAATCCAAATAATGCAATTTGCTGTTCAAAACTGGACAGTGTCAAGTTCTGCTGCTCTCTTAACAATAGACTTATATAGTTTTCAAGACATAGATAGATGAAAACACAAGTGTTAGTGAAGTCTACTTTGCTATTTGAACACTTAATTACCGGAAACTTGTTATCATTGAAAAAGTGCAAAAAATTATTTCCTGGCGCAACAAGACTAAAAATTTTTCGTTTTAATAAATTAAAAACAGTTAGTTTGGTTGTTTTGTTCATATCGTGAAAAAGTGGAAGTAATTCATCATTCATCATGGTGAATGCCATGAAGTGTAATCATATGTCTCACGATGTAGCCAGTTCCAATACATATTATTTCTACAGTTGTTAAGAAACGCTCACTTATTCGCGAAATTTATCAGAAAACTTATTTATGGTACAGATTCATACACATTTAACTCACACTTGCTACTTATACCTGTTGATTTGAAACCAGCGACATCAGACTCCTTCTTGAATACAACTTGACATTTCTCAATGTCTAAGGATACTAAGCAAAACAATTTTTTCATTTTGAGTTCAGAATGTAAAGTACACTAACTCGACTCGCTTACTGCGATTTGATTGTTTCTTTTTGCTTCTTAATCGATGATCAGTTGTTTGTTTATTTTCATACGCTTCTTGCTCCAGGTCACTTTCCTTCTTAAAAATCTTACAAACTCGAGAATTGTAATTTATTTGCTGTTTTGTTTCCCTCACCTGAAGAAAGCTCGTCATCCAAATCCAGTTTTTCTTGGATTTCCGGGACGCTACTTTCTGACATACCTAAAATAGAAGTCACCTCAGTGTTAGCGTGACTCTTCTGCAAATGAAACTGTGAATGCGACTGCTTCAAGACTCTTTTGGCTCGAAAAACAAAGATGATCTGAAGGTTTAAAATGTTGCAGACTTATTATTATTATTATCTTCGACACGTTCCTTAAGGCACACACTGTTTAGGCAACTCAAATTTGTATTTTCAAAATCTTTTTTTTTTTATTCGAGAGTCATCAACCGTTTTTGGTTTATTTAATTTTACCAGTATTTTTATTATTCTTATTGCGAACTCCTCTGGAAAAATCTAAATCTGTCGTTGGTTTGTCTCACATTCTTTACATGTAGCTGAAATTTAAATCGATTTGGAATTTGGTAAATGAATAAAGTGGGTAACTTTCTAAAGAAACTGTGGTGCTGCGTCGTTGGGAGAGTATAACAAGGTAATTTAGTTTTATCAACCGAGTCAATAACGGAAATTGGACACCTAGTTATCAACTCGGTTGATAATACTAAATTACCCCGGAACTTGATAAGTCACTTTAATTGAAGAGGACAATATGTATTTCAGGTGGTTAATTTAACTTCAAGTGTAACGGGGAGTAAACAGAGAACAACGCACGACAACAACAGAATTGCCGTGGAAAGTTACTAGGAAGATCAAAACACATTCTCAGGATTCGAAAAAGAAATTTATAACGAAAGTTGTGACGTCACTGTTCAAAGTTCTATTCTATGAATCAAAGCTTTTCAATGCAGCCCATAAATTTTGCAAAACTAATACTGGTTAAGTCCAATATTTTTATTTGTTTGTTTCATGGTTTTTTTTTTCTTAACTGAATAATGCCGAAGTGTGGTTCGCCGGCGGGCGTTACCATGAGTTTTTTAACTCTGTCGATAATGAAACCTCATCGGTAGTTACTGTCTATGATTTTCACGAAGATGGGTAAAAAAAATTAAAAACGAATGGTACACTTTCCAAATGTATCGGATAATTAAGCGAAGAAATTCCGTACGGTGTCAAGGCAGATTTAATTACATTGCACCTGCTTTTTATGTAATGTACATTGCGCGTCGTAAATTCATATAAAAAAACAAAAACAAAACAACCAAACAAAAACAATACAGCAGACAAATGTATCTTTCTGCGTTATTACTATCAGGATTAAAATCGACTCTAATGGCCGCTTAATTTATTGTCAGAGAAGTCAATACCCTGAACCACAGATAGTTTTTACCACGACCTTTTTTTCCCCTTAATTTGAATATGTTCATGTATTTCCCATAAAAAAAGCTGCGAAGATGTCGACATTGTAGCAATGGACTTTCGGAGGATAAATCTCCATCACAAACTGGCTGGTTCCAAAGTTCAATGGATAGCCACGCACGACTGACTCTAACATTGTAGCAAAACAAGCGGTTAGCTCCGTAATTCTCGTTAAAAATTAAATGAATTTGTCCGTCTTTCCCCTGAGTGCATGCTACAATTTGTTGAAATATGTTTTCTCTCACCTGAGGAACTCTCGCTCTTCAGACCAAGTTCTTCTTTTGATTGCAAAACTTTATCTTCAGCCATAACTAAGAATAAAACAGAACCAAACCGGTTTGCTTTGTGTCACTGATATTCGTTTGAAAACGATTCTTAATGCAACTGTATAACTGGAAAACATATCACGGTCAAAAATAACCTTTGGGAAAATTTCAAATGTATCCTTTAATTGGTGATTAACCTAAACCTTCTGGGAAAGTAATCAGGATAGATATCAAAATATTTTGTTGGACCCACTGAGACTGAACATGAAGTCCCTAGCTTCAGAATGACGAATCTTCGAATTTCAGTTTTCCAGTAGCGCTCTAACTTGCGACCGTCTCGTTCGCCATGGTGAGTAGAATAAAGAATAACTTTAAATTGGGCACCTGAATTTGCACGTATGGTCGTCAGTTTTTCTATTTGTGTTCCAATATATTTAACGCACTTGTTTGTTGGATAACGCCAAAATCAATGCACTAAAACTAAATTCTTACCTTAATCTCAAAGAAAAAAATGCTTGGAAAAATATATCCGTGATCAAACTTTCTCTAGCTGCTGATTCTAGATGAAACTCTAAAATGAACATGTAACATGCACAGTGTTCTTGTACAGACAGGCAGTTATATATATATGGAGATTGCATGTCATTTGAAGAAAATAGAGCAAGAAACGGAAACCAGAACTTCTCGTTTCATTTTCGTATGTCATGATTTTATTATCAGAAAATTTCAAGCTTTGCTGTCAAGAAGTGAAAGCCACTGAAAAGTGTGAGGATTTCAATACACGCGGTAACGACGGTTGTTCAACACGATCGAGATGAGCTGCAGGTATGTGGTAAAGTCAAATGCGACTCACCTGCTCCCTGTGCAAGAGGTACTTGCTACCTATATCACCCCTTTATACCCTGACATCAGAATTCATATTCTCCACACTGTTCTCTATGCATTTCCTGTGACTGACAAGGAGAGTTTGTTTATTGATCAAGAGTTTTCTACCGAGCACGGTTAATTGAAGCTTTTTGAGAATTTTTCTCGTCGCAAAAATTTATTTCAATTCCGTCAATACTAACAATCGTCCGCATTCAGTCGCCATGTTGAACGCAATTTCGCCCCTCGGGGACTCAACGTTTTTCAAAATCCCGGGTTTTTTTCGAAAACCGTGAAGCCCCTGGGTACAAGATCTTGATACATGAAAGACAACGCATGCATGTCTGGAAATCGCGGGGACTTTGATTAATCATTTTATGAAGGTTTGTTTTTCATTTAAGGCGTTCGGACGAATTTTGTTTCTTTCTGATCATTATTAGCTAACGAAATGCTCTATTTGGTAGTGATTAAATGGAGAAGTTTACAGATACTTAGATGAGAAAAATTTGTTTACATCTAACCTGGTAAGACTTGGACTTAAACTTAACAAAATGCAGCTCAATGGGAATCTCACAGTTAAATAAGCTTCCATTGAACTCACAAGGCTCTTTTACTTTTACGATTGCACAAAAGGTGTGACGTTATTTTATAATAAATAAACTTCGAAAATGATATCAGCTTCAAACTCATCGTTGGTGTAGGAACCTGTTAGAAAACGGGGAAGTCAGAAAGAAAACTCTCAGTGGGGCCTGCGCTCCATTATGTCGCGGAGACTTAATTTTGGTCTGTCACGCAAAATTTCTAATTTCAATTGACATGATCTGATCCATGATCTGATCCATGATCCGATCCGTGATCCGATCCGTGATCCGGTCCGGTCCGGTCCGATCCAGTCCGATCTAGAATTTGTCCACGCCAGATGATTGTAGGGATTAGCCTCATTCTGGCGAGCAACTCAACATGGCGGCTGCTTGTGAGAGAAATGGAAGTGGGCAAAGCCTGGAAGATCTCTTGGATAACGAAGGCACAACAGCTGCTCTCGTTTTCAACGCTATTATGATCGTAGCAGCTCAGCCACTGACGTGTTCGACTCCTGGCGCAGGTAATGGACTGTAAATGTCAAATGACACATTTATATTTCACTTTGATACTTTACCGGCGCCCAAAGTTCGACTTAATGTTTGCGTGACCTCCTACCGTTATTCTAACGAGGATTTTTTGGTACAAAAGTAGTATATTGGCTAAATATTCATGACAGGGAACAAATGCTTTAGGCCAGTAGGTGTTCACTGAACTTAGGGCTGGATTAGGACAAAATGTCCACAGGAGACAAAACTTCCTCCATAAATTAAAAACAAAACCCTCTCTTCTTACTGGCCCTGAAAATATCATCAGGGGTAAAATTCGAAGTGAGGGAGTGGTTGCTTTATCCCAATATAATGGGTTCCATGAATCTGGAGTGGGGGGCAGTAGAGTGCATAATAATGTGATCAACATGATCATAGCAAAAAGAACAGACAGAGTTTGTTGATAATAAGGAGAAGTCTACTCCTGTGGTGTTCTTCATTTGAATCAAAATGGTTTCTCAGTTACAGCTGTAGGTAACTCAGTTTAGATGTTGCACCACTCATTATCTTAGCCTTACTAATGAATACTAATACTTACTAATGTTTGGTTTGGTGCTTAACATCAGATCAGCAGAGGCTGACTCATTTTCAGACATTAGATTGGTATTTTGGCAAACCTGATGATCTTCTCAAATACTGAACTTTGTTACCCAGTACACTCTAACATCAGAATCCATATTCTCCATACCCTTCTTTATACATTTCCTTTGGTACTGACAAGGAGAATTCATTTTAACATGTAAAACTTCTTAGTTTGGCAATCATTTCCTTTATTCTCATCTATTGGGTTAAATAAAGGGTTAAGTGAGCTTTGAATGCCCCTTTTAAATGACATCTTTAGGAAGACATCATTTTTCTCTCTTTTGAGATCAACCCTTTAACTCCCAAGATCTCATTAGTGTCTGCTGTACAATTCATATGATGTTAGTTTGTAAAATTTGGAATTAGATCAAACAATTATCATGTAATTGATAATTTTCTTTATTCTCATTACTTGTCTGCTTGATATTGTATGGATAGTGTAAGGAGAAATTACGTCTAGGTCACTAGTGGGATTTTAAGGGTTGATGTAGTCGTACAATTTGTTTCAGTTTCCTTCCCAAAGTCAAAGAAAAAATGCCCTTAACACTTTAACTCCCAAGATCTCATTAGTAAAGGGGTATTAAAAAATGCAGCATTCTTTCCAGTATATAAAAAATTACTTAAATGTAAGCTTTGAGGAGGTTGATACATGGCTTGCCTTGTGTTTGCAATTAAAGGAATCAAATAGGGCAACTATCAATCAGATGTTGAAAGCAATCTGGGATTGTCTTTTTTTTTTCTTTCCTTTTGATTGGTCTGAAAAACTCCGGCCACCCTCTCAACAAATAATAGGCAAAACTGGAACAAATTTCAACTTTCTCACATGCATTTTCCCACACTTCCAGCTGTTTGCTTTTTTCACTTCAAGTTCTGATTTGGCTCCATGTGATACTTATTTTAAGTTCTGGTAAGCCATTTTCAGATTACTTTAGTTTTGGTTATACAACTACAGTGAAAAAGCATTATAATGAAATTCTGATTTTTTTTGCTGGCAAATGACTAACATTTGTCCTAATTACAATGTCTTGAAAACAATCAAGATTGACAGTTTCTGTAATATAAATTTATATTTTTTTGGTCAGCATGTGAAGATGATGTCAACACAATTTCTAGTTGATAATATGTATTTATTTAAAATGCAGAGGCACTTTAGATCTATTGTTGAAAAAAAATCAAACAAGATACTGGTAATCAAGAAAAGTAACATATTTGTTTAGGTTTCTTTGTTTTTTTACCTCCTTATCCTGCAGCATGACATGTAAAGAAGATAAATGGATGGAGTGGACTCTACAGAGGATTGTTACCAAGGTAAACTTTGTATGCTTTGATTTCCAGAGGTTGAAATATTTTTTTGTCTTGGTGAGAAACCTAGTTGATTAATCAGAGAGAAATAAAAAATGTTACAGGTTTAATACTGTAATGACTGGAGGCTTCTCCTTGTTACTGAGCAAAAACATTAAGTCATGCTAACTTGTCTGTGTAGGATAATTTTCTGGTAAGACACCAGCATTATTGCACTGTGCATCCTGTACTGTGCATCAAAGTCAGGTCATCAGGGGAATTCCAAGAACATGCTATTGTTTTTCAATTATTGGACCAGGTAAAGAGGTTGTCTTGTCGTTGGCTCTTAAACCAGCATGGTGACCTATATTTTTATTGCAGAATTTTGGTGTACAAATTATCCCCTTTAAATTGGATAAATTAAAAAAATTCATTGAAGGGAAAAAAAGTACAGCTAAAATCATACAAAAAGCCCATTACTTGATGATGCAAGGTACAGTACAGAGATTCCAACCCCATGTGATGGAAAATAGGGAGTAATTATTAGTGCCAAAGGCGCGTTTTGCATTGCTTAAATTTAGGTTCTCTCAAGTGCCATTTCCTGAATTTTGACATCATTCCGGCATGATTATCAAATTGTTCTATATAATATGAGTGTTTCAATGACAGATCGCCATTCAAATTTTTTTCTAGTTTTCAGAATTTTATGATAAATCGGGAGAATTTGGTAAAAATCGGGAGAGCGGGAGGCAAGACATCAAATCGGGAGGGTTGGAATCTGACAGTATGACTTTGAAAGCAATAACTCAATGAACATTTTGTTGCTTAAAATTGCGCAATTTCAGTTTCCACATGATGTGTGTGATTCGTGCCTGTACAGGTATCAATGGGGTAAGTTTGGCTCATCATATCTCTTACACAAGCATAGTGACCTTTCTTTTGAAATTTATTTTTCCAAACAAACATTGGTAGGAAACATTTAAAGAAATTAAAGAAAAAAAATTTTTCGATAACTTTCTTTTTTGAGGAATCCCTTTAATTAATGGTTAGTGCACTGGACTCTGGTTGTAGAAGTCCGAAACCTGGCTGGGTAATTGTGTTGTGATCCTGGGCTGGGCGTGAAATTGCGCCTAATACAGGCGACAATGCGACTAAATTTTTCACTTTGGCGACCAAATCCTGAAAGTTAGTCGCCAAATTGGCGACTAGAACGTTTCATCATAACCTTACCAAGAGATATAGTGAATTAAAAAGATTTGCAACGATAAATCCGCGGCAAACTTCCTCATTAAGTTTGTTTCTAAAACGTAGCACGTGCTTCTCGATCGACAACTAGACGCCATCTTGGATTTAGATGAGCCTGAACGTTGTATATCATCCATCCTAGTGTCCACTTTGTAGTACGTTAAAGATCTTTTCCCTAACTTAATTTTGGAGGGTCTATCTAGAGCGCTGACAGCGTAAAGAAAGGTTTTGTTTGTCTTTGAAAATGGCGACCAACTTTTTTTGAATTGGCTACCACTTTGAAGAATTTAGGAGCCAAGTGGCTATCAGAAAAAAAAGTTAATTTCACGCCCTGCTGGGCAAAACAATTAATTCTCACAGAACCTCTCTCCACCTAGGGCTGGGTTGAGATAACCTAGGGTTAGTGTGAAATTTGATATCAGATCTGAAAGCTTGAGGAGCAAATTCAGTTTATTTCTCTTTGACTACAATTTGATTATTGAATGCTCTGAAAACAATGGGTAAAATTATTCCAAAACTGCTTTTGAACAGAGAAATATAGAAACCTGGATTAAAATTTTACCCTGGGTTAGCACTAATCAGCCTTTAAACCAGTTACTGGGCTCAGGAGTATAAATGGGTGGTGGTTAATTGTCAGGGAATCTTGATGAAATACAGGGGGTAACCTTGAGATGGACTAGCATCCCATTCAGGGAGAAGTAGTAATATTCCTTGTGGCTTCATGCTCTGAAAACTGGTATAAGCTGCACCTGGATGGGCCACTTGGCTCCAGTACAAACTCTTTTAGTCTCTAAAGGGGTCAAAAGTTAATAGCTTGATTTGAATGTTGATATTCTAAAGTACTCTTGCTGTGTCTCCACATGAAACCAAAGGACCCTATTTTGTTCATCAGTAGAGAAATATTTTGCAGTGTGTGGGATGTATTTTGTATGTTGAAGTATTTGCTCTGTACTTGGTTTCTATGAGGTGTAAGTCCCTCTAATCTCCAAGGTAATTTTCATCATTTTTGAGAAACTTTATTTCTGGTATTACATTAATTGTTCTGCTATAACTGTTGTTAGGGTATGCTCATCTATGATTGGAACTCTCGTAAACAATACAATGCTACAGGTATTACCATGGATTCACTTAAATTATAATTTGTTAACTGCATTTCTTCTGTAGTTTGATTTTTCTGAAGTGTAATGTGAATTGCTTACCTAACATCAATTGTGATATAATCTTATGTGAATTGTGTATTGAATAGGTTATGGGTAAAAAAGACATTATGACCTTGTCCTACTGGTTCTTCCAGAAAATATGGTGGGATTGCTCTTTTTATTGTATGTTATAAATTTTTTTTTTTAACTTAATTAGAATGATTTAAGTGGTACAGCTCTGTATGTTTATTTTTTTTTCTCCATTTATTCTTGAAATTTTTAGAGCAAGCAAGAAGAATTGCTAGAGTTTGTTGAAGAGGTATTTTAACCAATTTTTCTCTTACTTTTTGCTTAAAAAGGGGGGAATCTGACTTTTTAGAATGAATATTATGTAGCACAGTGGTTTGTACACCAAACTATGGACTGAGGGGTATGGGTTTGAACTTTGAATAACTCTTTACACTCTAACATCAGTATGCATAATCTCCATACTGTTCTCTATACATTTTCTAGGGTGCTGAATGGGAGAATATGTATAATAATCAATAGTTTCTTTTGTTGGTTATCATTTCCTTCATTCATGTGACCCTATTATTTGAACTAAAATATATTTTCACAAAAAAACTACACCACAATTATTTGAACATACTGGGCTACAAAATACGAAAGTAGGAGTGAAAGCAAATTTTGGGTGGCTTGCCACTGTTTAGCTGATGCATGCTGACATAAGCTCTTAAATACTTCATATAGAGACAGATCATTTGCAGTTGCAGAAAACAATCGTGTTGTGAAGCTGAAATGTTAACAGTTTACTTCGCGAAATAAACTGAAGTGTTAAGCAATATTTCAAAAGTGTTGATTAAACATACATCTTTTACTGCTGTAATAAACAACGGAGGTATCGGAAGAGGCACTAAGGAGAAAAATATGAGAAAATTCAGATTCCATCTTCAAAATTCGAGTGACTATCTCACTTTCCTAGTCTGGTTGCAGATTCCCTACCAATCTAACTCTTTTTCAACAGTTATTCGCAAATTTCATTCAACCACATCGACTGACGAAGACAGCAATAAGACAGTGGAAAAGTCGCGATCTCAGTAAGTTGATAATGACTTCTAATCATAAGACAAACGATTCAAAGTTTATTTACTGTATTATAACCACGCTTTACAAACTCGTCTATGGCAGCAACTTTCCTTTCAAAACGAGAATTGATGTTACGAAAATTCGTTTTTCGCATGTTTTATGAAGGTCACACCTGGAAACTCAACTCCTTGAAGAATGATTTTCAAGGAATTTATATTTTTCATTTCTTCATTTCTTTCTTTGATGTATTTGTTTATTTCATCTGAGTTCTGCTTAGTATTTTTATTACTTTGACAACAAATTCACCCTTCGAAGTTTAATACCAAGTTCAAAATTAGCTCTCAATTGGCCCTCCCATTTTGGAATATAATTGAACGACTGCGACCGAAGAGCCATTCGGTGCTTTCGGTCCGCCTTTCAAAGTCAGAAAACTCATTTGAATTACAAATATTTTTTGAAAGTTAATATTCATATTTGCGATCAGTTATACACGCGGAAAGAGCGTGAGGAGTTCAAGAAATTTCAACTTCTTTTGCAGCTTTTCTCGGGCCACAAAACACATCGCTTCCACGTTACAACCTTAGATTTCGTCCGCTCAGTCAAGTCCAGCTTGTGTTTCGTCGAAGTTGCTGATAAGGTGGCCCGAGTGCGACGTCGAGGATAAATGAATGTCATTTTGTCACGAGTTTCTTCAAGGTAAATAGCTCGTGTGTAATATAATCTTTAGAGAAGTGCAGTATCGGTGTCTCTCTCCGTTGTCCTCGTTCAAACTGGAGCTTTGGATATGAAAAGGAAAATCCAACCAAGCACAGCCGCCCGGACAGTTCTACATGTGCCACGTGATTTACGGGCAACAGTGAGAAATGTTTACTTAATGATTAGTTTATTGATAGCTAAATGTGCAGTAATTTATCTCTTCATTTCTATACTCGTTTCTTATTCTACATACAATCACTTGCGCTCACAGCATGTCAAAATTAGATTTGTCGTACACGCGCTTGTTACTTCTCTGACTCCCAACCATGCCCGCAAAGCAAAACCGGTGATTTTGAAAATATTTTGAAGTAGAATGGGTTTAGGAAACCAGAGGAATTTAGTTTCCATGGAGTGAGTAAATACCGGATATCTCGCGCCAGCTCGAATCAGCCGAATCGAAAGATCTTGGTTGAAACCTTGTGTTATGTGCTTTGGTGAGAAAATTCAACATCCACAGCAACTCTCCACCAGGAGTTTAAATAGTTACCGGTGAACTGTTAGAGAAATCTGACAAACTACTTGAGGGTGCCCAACCAGAAGAAGAAGAAGCGAGGCTCTTAGTACATGTGCTATCATACCACAGATACCGGAATAAACTTTAATGGCTGTGGGACTTGTAATTAGTTTCGTGTGCAGGGAATAAATAGCCTTTACCTCAAATTGCTTTCACTTTCTCGAAGGATGTTGAATGTAATGTTACTTCTCTGTATTAGAATGTAAGCTTTTATTATCTCCTGATGGAGTTCTTTCGATATAGATATCGTTGTTAATCATTCATAGTAAACTGATGTGCATACTTAAAGAATGATGTAAACGTTTTAGAAATCAATTCATTTATATCTCGATGTTTGGTTCTCTCCTTAGGAAAACATCAAGCATAGAATGTGAACTTCTCAAAGTAAGAAATTCGAGGGAGGAAAGAGAAACTGGACAACCTTTAACCTGGTTAGTAATTCAGTTAACCCCTTCCGCCTTAAAATTAGTATGCATATTCTCTATACTGTTCCCAATACATTACTTAAGGTGCTGATGAGGAGAATTTGTTTCATAATCCAGAGTTTCTCTAGTTGACCATATCCTTTATTCTCATGACATTAATTGCATTAAATGTATTAATTGTAAGGAGAAATTAGATGCTGGTCACTCTTAAGGGTTAAAGGGTTGACCCTTTTACTCCAAGATCTCACCAGTAATTCTCCTCACTGTCTGCCATACAGTGATGTTAGTTTGGAGATTTGACATTGGATCAACTAATAATCGTCTAATTGACATGTTTTCTTCTCATCACTCGTCTGCCAGATATAGCTGTAAGGAGAAGTTCTGTCTTGGTCACTAATGAGAGTTAAAGGGTTAAGTAACTACGCTTGTACGACTGATCTGCTGTGAACGCATATATCTGGATTTAACGGACTGCAAGTAGAAACTAACCGGGTCGAAAGAAAAAAAAAAGAAATGACATATTCTCTTACTTTAGAGCGCTTTTGGTGTGATTAGTCATCTTCTTTGTTTCTGTTGATAGTAAAACACTGGTGTCAAAGAATTACATAATGGTTATCGTACATGAAAATGCACCTAACCTATCTATTATAGCGATGTTTTCTGACAAATATTCCCATAACTTCGACATATTTCTAGAGAAAAACTTGAAATTGGGTAAAAGAGGCGTAGTTATTAAAATGGCAGGCCTAAAACTATTATTGTTAGGGATTTAGCTGATAAAAAAAATTGTCTGCTACTTTCCTTTTTTCGTTCGCAGCCGGAAAAAACGATACATTTTTAGATATTACGAGGTACTTATTTAAAGGAAGTTATACATGTACTCTCATAACGTTTTTTTTTCTTCAAGGGCAGGGTCAAGCATAGAATGAAAGCAAAAGTTTGGAAATTAAGAGATACAAGGGAGGAAAATGGAGCCGAAAGGAAACATCCAACAAGGTTTGTTATTTAGTTTGTGACGACTGATTAATTATTTATAGTTTATAGGGCTGGTTTGCGTTCAGTACACCAAAACTTTTATTTTGCTGAAAACAAAAATATTTCGTAGTTTTCTCCATTCCCCAATCTATTCGATGTCTGTTTGAAGGAGATGACTTACAGTACTGTTTGATGAAACGATATTACTGCAGGCAGAGCCTTTGTTGATGGAAACATTGGTATTGAAGAAATTCTTTGTCATTGTTTGTAACTTTATGATTAAAAGAAATTTACACGTGAAATACGTTCATAGAAGAGATGACTTAAACTCGTAAATATTGTCAATCAATTAAATGTTGAAGATGATAAACTCTTTCAACCTAAAATTCTGCACGTTTTGAAGGTTTTTTGAGATGTTTAATGCGATCTTTCAGTGAGGGGTGTCTTGAAAACAACTGTTGTCGTTATCAGTAATCGCTTTTTCGAAAACTTGAGCAGAATTTTTGATAACAGTCAAGTAAATTTAATTTCCAATCAATTGCCAAAAGTCTGGGCAGTTTTTCTGAAGATCATCGATGAAACCTCGAGCAATCATTAAGGGAAGTTGCCCTTTACCGACAAGTTGCTTGACGAATAATCCTTAATTTTAACACCACCTAAAGCTAGGCTATAAGGACTCTAATAAGACCAGTAGTGCTATTTTAAATATTCTAGATAGCCAATCTGACGAAAATAAAGCTAACCGTGTGTGATTTGTTATTGATGAATTTCTTTATTGGATTTGCAGAGTCGAAAGATGAGGATGAAAACAGGGACTCGAAGAGGATTGGAGAATTGGAATGGGAAATGCACAGAGAGATCAATGATGGAGAACTCGGCAAACTGTAAGTTGTTTGACTAACTTTATAGTAAGAAATTAGAGAACGATGCCAAAATATTCATTAGTTTGACTATCCAAAATATTCTGATGATAACCGCGCTGTTACAAAAACTACAAAGGTAGAAACAACAATTACTGTAAAGTATGTTTTCCAATGTACAGTAACAGAACTTTCAGGGAATGTTTTGTGCGCTGAATAAATTTTAACGAAAAATCCTCTTAAGGTTAAAGATTGACCAATCACATTTTCCAGTCGAGAGGAAGTCCCAGCTTAACCTCTTAACTCCCGTGAGTGACCAAGAAAGATTTTCTCCTTACAATTTCAAGCAGACAAGTGATGAGAATGAAGTAAAATGATGAGTAGCACAGTCACGCCGCCATTTTGGACTCAAGTGCCTTTGCTAACGAATATCTTCGGGAAGGTTTAACCTCTAAATCTCACACTTTCCACAATATAAGCTTAGTTATCCTACTTCATTTTGGTGTAAAGAAAACAAGGTTTGCGACAAAGTGAAAATTGTAAAAAATAAATATTTCCTGAAAATGCGTGAATTTCTGGGTGTAACGCGTAACATGAAATGTATCAGACGGAAGAAAAAAATGAAATATCTCAATATAGAACGCACGTGGGGCCACTAGTTTTTGGCCGTTAGTAGTTTATGACAAAAGCAACAGGCAGTATGATTTGCAACAAGAATGGTTTATTCTAACGCAAGTTATAAACGTCTGTTTTTATCACTGGACAATGTAACGCTCGCAACTATTAAAACAACCATAGTGTGCAAAACTAGCAATAATGATAATTTCGACTGTGTAAGCAACAAACTAATAACAAAAATGTAATGGGCATACATCATAATATTTACAAACCAACGCTGAAGTTGAATCGTCAAGTAGAATGTTTTCCAGATCAAAATAAAACGCGCGGAAACACATTTCGTAACGGCCATATTGAGCTTAATTCCATCACATATCCACCAGTAGATCCGTTGTCAGACGCGATTCTTGTTAAGTTGAGTAAACAAGCTCACCTCTCCTGGAATGGGCTTGTATTAAGCTAAATTTACAGAACGTTTCAACCCATTTCGTTAGATCTAACGCTAGAAATTTACGTTTGGTCGACGCGGAAACACTTTCCGCCATTGCTGCCGTGTTCATGAACCGTAACGAAGGAAAGTTAACGAAGGAATATGGCGAAAAACACCACCAAAACTTCCACGAAATCCGCTCCTTCGCAGCTTCTCTTTGAAAGCACATGGTTCGTTTACACAGACAATAACAGGGGAGTCCATACAGAGTTTGCAGGGGCAGATTATTGCATAAAAATGAAATGTATTGCGTGATTTTCAACCTCCCATGCCAAGGGAGAACAGGATGCTGCAGGTTCTCACGTTAAGCAAAAAGTCAGCCAAGCTGTCCTCAGAAGAATAGCTACTATCATCAGTGCTCGAAGCATGCACGACTTCTTAGTCCAGCACTTTTCCCAGCCAGCACCATCAAGCTTCTCAGCAAGAACAAAGTCAGTTCAGCTAAAGCGCAGGATCTTCCATTTTGTACCATCTTCTGGGGAGGGATCTGTTGTCAGGAATAGAGCTGGACGCAAATTCACAGAATTAAAAGGAATCAGAAAACTGCATTGCATGAAAACCACCCCTCAGCAGGGAAAGGTGTTTGTGCGACACCGCTCATGTTACTGCATCAGTTGCATTGTGAATGATGAGGAGAACTGCACTAACAAGGCATGGCTTGATGAATGGAAGCCGCTGGAGCTAACCAGAGAGGGTGATGTGGCAACCACTCGACAGGCATCTGAAGCACCAATTTTAGACCATGATACTGCTTCCTACATAGCTGACCTGGCCAGCAAGGGAAGTACAGTTGCGATAGCCGCTGAAGATGATCCTGTCTACGGCTTCTATCTCCTTCAGGTCACTTCTGATGGAGTTGAAGAACTTGACAGTAATGTCACAGATGACTATCAGTGTCATTATTACAGAGGAGACAGAGTTCTTAAGGGGCACTTTTACATAAGGGAGAACATTCATGACATGGCCTTTACAATTGACGAAAAACGGAAAGCGTTTGTACATGCTGCTACTGTCCGTCACATTTGTGGTGACCTACCAGTCAGAAAGATAGGACGAAAGTCTATTTACAAACTCCCTTTAAAAGAAAATGAGGAAATCATTGCTTCAATGTGAACAAATAATAACAAAACCTCTTTTTTTCCATTTTTACATTGATTTTCTTAAGATTTTATGAAAAACCAAAAATGTGCCACGCCCACAAGGGATTGTGGGTAATACCAAAATTAGTGTTATTAATGCAAAATAATAAAAATATTTACAGATATTGATTACAATGTACATTTTGATCAAAATTAAAGTCGAAAAGTGATAAAATGTGAAAAAATTAAAAAAATTGTTTTTTTTTAACTATGTTACAGCAAATGGCTATGTGACTGTGCTACTCATCAAATGTCAATTGGGAGATTATTAGTCGATCCATTACCAAATTCTCCGAACTGACATCATAAGAATTGGTTGGCAGAAAGTACGGAGAATAACTAACGAGATCTAGGAGTGAAAGGGTTAAATGAATAGAGCAACTGTTATTCGAGAGCTAGTGAACCAGTTAAAAAAACTTAAACCAGTTAAAAAACTTTTTTTAGTTATTTTTATAACGTTTTGAAAGAGAGAGTTTCATTTGGTTTTAGTTATGAGAGACATACTTTCCACATGGAAAATTGAAATTTTTCCTAGAATTGAGCAAACACAGTTTTTTTCTCAGAGAGGGAGTAAACGTTGTGTTTACATTTGATTAGGGGAAAGGTGTTGTTTAGTATTTATGAATCGTTAAATCCAAATTTTACTTTCTTGAAGTGAGATCAAACTCTTCTCTCAAAAATAGCAGGGTCTGAATTTAGATGAGAGATAACTTGATTTGAGTGCTATTTTGATAGAGACCAGTAATATAAAAGTTTTAACTCTAGGATTTTTACTAAGCCAAAGCAATTACATATCAATTACCTTTTTGAATGTTACTTACTTTCTAAGGGATTAAACCTCAGTCAAAAGAAGCAATTACTGTTTCAAGTGATGATTAAGTCATCAAATAACTTTTAACTGGCGGAAAGTGTCGGAGGAAAATTTTACGTACATTCAGTGAAACGAAGTAATTTGCTAAATTTCTGATGATTTGGGGGATTTGCTTGCGAACAAACTTTGATCAGTCCCCTTATCTTTTGAGGTTAGGTTAGTTACTATGGAAATTACGAATATGTTCTTAAATTTCACTCTCTGGCGAACCTTACGGGTTGATTTCCTCCAACTACTGCCTTTCTCAGGGGGAGGGAGGCTGGAAACATCACCATACGTATCTCTCCCAGCACTCTGTGTCGAAAACAGAACATTTAGAAAGAGTAAGATTGTCAACTGTTGCTTTAGAATTCTGCAATGTTTTCATTGAATATCGGATGAATTTAACGATATCGTTATGAACTTTTCAAAAAGAGTTTTCTCTTGAGAGATTGCAAGATGTTTCTTTTGGCATTTAAGCCGTTTACTAGCAAAAACAGAAGATTTACGCGTCGACACTTGTGCAGCGAAATCAAGGCCATTCTTGGTTCTTACATTCAAATGCCTTAGTGAAACGATTTGAAGAAGGGATTTGTTAGTGCAGGTTAATAGGTGTGTTTTAGTTTATTTTTGTTTTTATCAGGCGAGTTTTTGCGCTTTGTTTAAAGAAAGTACTTAACTAAATGAAAGCGGATTTTTCTAACCAACAAATGCTGGTATTAAACTCAAAAACGTCCTCCTCTAACAATGGATATAATACTTACACTGTAGGAGCATACTTATTACATTAAACTGTTGCTAAGAAAAATTAAGTCTAAATAGTTTAAAGAGGCCGGGAATGCAAAACAACAGACTGAGTCGAAAAACCAGAACAATACCTTTGAGCTCCAAACATAAATTTAACAATTTTTATGCATTGAGAATGTAACTTTTCATTCCAAGGCGGCCACTTTTTCGAGTAATGCATTTTTCTTCAAAGAAAAAAAAAACGTTGCAGCCAGGCATGAGTGCACTGAATAAAGCGAAGGAATGTTATCGACATCCAATATTTTTTGCAGGATTTTTTGGCGAACAAGACTCATTTCCTTCTCTATTTTTCTTACATATAGAAGAATTTAGAAGTAAAGGAAAATTTTATTGAATTACTAATGCGTTCCTAGAAGTCTCTAAGTGCATAAGCTTTCCACCCCTAAGGATGGGCGTAAAGTATTTACCTCATTTATCTTTGTATGCTACAGCAATTGAGAGAATAATTGTAGTGTTGGGAACCATTTCTTTAAATTTCTATACTAAATGGCATGTGGTGTCGAAAGGGATACGGTTTCTGGCTTTTCTAAAGAAGTTCGTTAAAGAGAGAAAACGATGTGTTTCTTTTCGGATTATACATTTTTCCCCGAAGAATTTACTAGTATAGGTCAATAAAGCAGAGCCTTCGCTCTTTGTGCGAGAAAAAAAAAATTCTGTGTGAAAGGGGATTTTTGTAATCAAGAAAGACAGCTTTTTACTCAATCACGGCATTTCTAAACATGGATAGTACGTGCCATTTGAAGTCTTAAATATTTAACCAGTTGTAGCTTAAAACCGCTGCTGAGCAAATCATAACAAAGTCTTTTGAAGTGAAACATTTAGTACAAAAAATAAATAATCAATTACGTTAGTGTTCCAAACCCAAGAAAGGGATCGAAAAATTGAAAAAATCCATCTAGCCAAACACTTTCTCTTCACTGATAGAGGTATCTTGCATCATTTGCAAATATTACATAACAGTTTTCATCCTTAGTATGCTTCTGATTTAAACAATGTACCCATAATCAAAAAACTTTTTAAACGAACGAAAAACATTAGAGAAAACTGTATAAGAGCACCAAAGAAATGTTCTGGATGTTTTAGTTCCTTCGGGATTTATAGTGGTAATTGAACTGAGTGGTGTGCAGTTTATAACGGTCATTGAACTGAGTGGAGTGCAGTTTGGTCTGAGGTCATACGAGTGATTTAAGATTTAACGAGTTTAAGTTGAAATCACAAGTATGATTTCAGACCAAAATTTCACGACACGAAAATTCAGGATTTTTTATTTTGGGCAAATATTTTATCGATCCAGTACTGAGCTGGTTTATAAAAAGTTACCCAAAATTTGTCTTCCATTTCCTGCAATTCGATTGGTTACTTTAAAAAAAACCTTGAAATCTGATCGGTTGTTGCGATACGTGAATAAATCGCACCAATTAGAGCCTATCAGATTGCAAGGATCACCACTGATTTCAAAACGGATGTAAACAAAATCAAGAACGTTCTCCCTATTTTTATTGAAAGCCAATACAATAAACTATCAAAAATTATTTTTGTTTATTATTTCTTTTAAGGTCTCCCAACGATTAAGTTTTCTTTAATATTAACGAAATTGACTTTTCTTAGACTACTACAGAATAGCCTACCTACAACAAAGTGATTAAAGAGAGTAAGTTTCCAGAGAAACTGTGGTGGTGCATCGATTGGAGAGTATAACAGGGTAATTTAGTGTTATCAACTAAGTTGAAAACGTAAATTGGTCAACGTAAAGAGTTTAAAGGATGTCGTTTCGAACGTTAGTTCTTCGTCTATCGCTCTGACGAAGGGCTAACGCTCCAAACGTCAGCCTTTAAACTCTTTACGGAGACCAATTTACGTTTTCAACTCAGTCGGTAACACTAAATTTCCCTACAACAAAGTAGAAGAACGATATCGTGTCATCTTAACGCAAAATTGTACAGCCTGCAGCCTGCAGCAAAGTCAAGGTTCTTCTCTCCTAATTTAGGTTGCCACGTGCAACGTGTTGAAACATGAAATTTCTGCAACAGTGTAAAAGTGGAGTTTTTTTCCATTAAAAAAGAAACAGATATTGAAAAGAAAAGAGGATTTCTAAAATTTAATGGGACCTTTTAATAGAAACAAATGTTTCAATGTGAAAAAGAAATCAGTAGTTTTATCATTGAAAAGTAGTTCTACACAAATTTAACAGTCTTTCTAAGTAAAATACCTTAGAAAAAAAAATAACAAAAATTTAATTCGCTAATAGTTTCAAACGAAAAAAAGCTTTATCAACTTAGTATTCACTCCAAGATACCTTCTGTTTGAACTGAGCAACGAATCCAAAATCAAAGACCAATAAAAAACTGTCATTTAGTTTTCGGAGTAAGTTTGGATGTCTTGATGTTCAGTAATCAGAATCTATTTGCGAGTAATTTGAATTTCCATTAGTATTTTTCGGGAAGTACAAAAAACTATTGCCGGAATTGGTTTTCCATAAACCAGTGTATTTGGCGTTTCTGAAGGCTAGACTTTATCAACAATTACCTCTCTAAAAAACCTTCAAATGCAAACGTACGCTTATAAGCATCCTTCAACAAAGCAAAGAGATTTTGGGAGTCTTTTTTTGAGAAATGAAAACTGAAGTTCTGCTACTTGCAAAAATTAGCCTTCAGTAAGAGTTGTATGCGTAGAGGAAAAGTGTCTTGAGGATGTCAGAGTTCTTATCAAACAGATTACAATGCCGTTCTTTTCGCAAAATTAAAATTTTTTTCAGGATCATTTGATAAATCTCGATGGAACTTTATTGCGCAGAGAAATGGAAAAGGTGTAGCTTACTCTACAAAATAAATGCTCCTTTAGTGAAAGTGGACTTTTCCAAACTAAGAGATACAGGAACGCGAAGGACTTTCGGCAAACATATATTGTATCTTGCTAACGGATAGAACGGATCATGATAACTGGGCAATGGAACAACTAAAAGATGTCTGAAAAGTTCTTTCGCAGATGGGAAATCTGGCAAAAAAACAAATAAACAAACAAGTAATTGTTATCCCTGAACAACTGAGAAGAATTGAAGTTTCTTTCCACTCAAACAATTCACTTTTATAGCACCATGAAGATATTTTTGTATTAAACAAGACAGAGTTGAATTCCATGATGAGAAATATTTTAAAGTTATGTATCCATCATCAAGGAAGTTATGAAACAAGATGAAAACCAGGACGAAAAGTCTAGGAATACAGTTATGACAGAAATTTGATGGTTTCCTGGGAACAAAATCAGCTTCCTTTTCATTTCTTTCCGTTTGTGTTGTGCTTCATCATTTTAAGTCTTTCAATGGGGGATTTATTGGAAATATTTCGATGTGTTCCTTTGGTGCTGTAGCTACCTAGCAGCAAAAAGATAACATTTTGTTTCCTACAGCACAGATTGGAAATAGTGACCTTTCTTGATTTAATCATTATTTTGTATAAAAAAGGCGGAAATGTTTGACTAAAAATATAAATTTAATCCCAAAGTTTGGCTGAACGGAGTTAAAATTTTTGTAACTGAAAAAATTTATTATAAGATAAAAATATCAATATTTCTTAAAACTTATAAAACAAACACCCAAAAGATTTTATGACTGTTTCGTTCCAATCAAGTAATTGTTTAGATAATTTGACGATGTCTTATGGAAATTTGCTAATTTGATTTCTTGAGCATGAAATTTAAATATTACGGCAGATAAACGTGAAAATTAAGGGTTCATCATCAGAGAAATTTCCAACAAACGAAACTTCTCTAAGAATTTGCTAGGAATGCCATTGTGAGAGGGAATGCTCTGCATGTCTAATGTATGACTAAGATTACTTTTCCGATAAATAATTTTTTTACGGACAGCTATTCTTTTATTTTTGTTGTTATTATTCATGTTATTGTGTTTACTTTTGCTTTTTTGGTTGTAATGCACTTTGCTTGGCTAATTCAACGACCATGTCCTCTCCTCTTCGTTTAAATTGTAAATTGTAACTTCTTCCGATGAGCTTACAACCATGTCAGCCTGTTTTCATTTTAATCTTTAAAGAAACAGAAAACTAATTTGATTTTAAGAGCTTCGAGAATTTTTTTCTGAGAAAAAAAAAATTCGGATAAAAATTCTCGGAGCTTTTAAAATAAAGTTAATTTCTGCTCCTTTAAAGATTAAAAGGAAAAAGAAAACCAACTAATGGGGCCTTACGCCCCTTGGAGATGCTTTAACAACTTAAATTAAACGACGGCGGGGATACCGCCGTCGTCTAATTTGAGTTGTTAAATGTGCACTACCGCTAGACCACAGAGGCTTTTGGTAAGAAGACACGGCAAAATTACACTAGAAGTAGGTTCGCTCCCATTGTTCATAGAAACAATAGCTTGTGAATTATGTTTGACTTTAGTTACCAGTCTCCTGAGACTTGTAGTCTTAATGTGTTCACCTTGCATTCTTGCTTTCTTTTTTTGCAGGTTGTTTGAATTTCATTGTTGAAGGAAGAAACGAGAGAAACTTTCCAAGTCTCTCTCTTTTTATTAAAGTCAATAACAAAAATTGTCAAGTAAAGTAAGAAATTTGTACGTCCTATTTTAGCAGTAAGAGTAGTCAGATGTTTAAATTGAATTAAAGTGTCTATCAAACTTTAGTAGTAGTGTAAATAAAGAAGTTTTTCAATTAGTGTTAAAGTCTAACAGGAGAAGTGCAATTGAAATGTCGTTTTAAAGACTTTCAGTAGTTGTGCAAATAAAAATGTTCAAAAATCTGTCAAAGTGTAGTAGTAGTAATGCAAGTGAACGAGTCGTATTAAAAATCTGTCAAAGTGTAGTAGAAGTAATGCAAGTGAACGAGTCGTATTAAAATTCTGTGAAAGTCTAGTAGAAGTAATGCAAGTGAAACAGTCGTATTAGAAATTGGTCAAAGTCTACTAGAAGTAGTACAAGTGAAAGAGTCGTTCTAAAAGTCTGTCAAAGTGTAGTGGAGGTAATGCAAGTGATAGAGTCATATTAGAAATCTGCCAAAGTCTAGAAGTAGTAATAAACGTGAAATAGTCGCATTTTAAAATTGGTCAAAGTTTAGTAGTAGTAGTGCAAGTGAAAGAGTCGCTCTAAAAGTCTGTTAAACTGTAATAGAAGTAATGCAAGTGACAGAGTCGTATTAAAATCTCTCAAAGTCTAGTAGTAGTAATGCAATTGATAGAGTCGTTCTAAGAATCTGTCAAAGTGTAGTAGTAGTAATGCAAGTGAAAGAGTCGTTCTAAGAATCTGTCAAAGTCTAGTAGTAGTCATGCAAGTGACAGAGTCGTATTAGAAATCTGTCAAAGTCTAGTAGTAGTCATGCAAGTGACAGAGTCGTATTAGAAATCTGTCAAAGACTAGTCGTGGTCGTGCAAGTGACAGAGTCGTATTAGAAATCTGTCAAAGACTAGTCGTGGTCGTGCAAGTGACAGAGTCGTATTAGAAATCTGTCAAAGTCTAGTAGTAGTCATGCAAGTGACAGAGTCGAATTAGAAATCTGTCAAAGTCTAGTAGTAGTCATGCAAGTGACAGAGTCGAATTAGAAATCTGTCAAAGTCTAGTAGTAGTCATGCAAGTGACAGAGTCGTATTAGAAATCTCTCAAAGACTAGTAGTAGTCATGCAAGTGACAGAGTCGTATTAGAAATCTCTCAAAGTCTAGTAGTAGTCATGCAAGTGACAGAGTCGTATTAGAAATCTCTCAAAGTCTAGTCGTAGTCATGCGAGTGACATAGTCGTATTAGAAATCTCTCAAATTGTAGTCGTAGTCATGCGAGTGACATAGTCGTATTAGAAATCTCTCAGTCTTGTAGTAGTGATGCAAGTGAAAGAGTCGTATTAGAAATCTGTCAAAGTAGCGCAATAGGAATGTGGTTTTTATTGGGAAAGCCTTGCACAGTGTTAGTCGTATAAAGTCATTTTCAAATTTGCCAAAGTGTCATTGTATTTGAATTTCATTGAAAGAAAGGGAATTTTAGTGCAGCTTCAGTGACATTAAACAATACGACTAAAATCGACGTCTTAACTCAAAAGTTTATTCATATATATTCTTATAATTTTTGTAAATGTCTTGAAATTCCTCCTTGTCATGCAGGGCTCATACCTGAAAGAGATTACAAACGATCACCATTTTAACTTGCATGCGGACTTTAATCTACAAATCTTTCATCGGTAAAAATAACACTTGAAAATGCAAAATAAAATCAATTTTGGTTTACACGATTTTTCTTGTTCCCTTGTGTAACTTTTGCGTTAAATGTGTAGGATTAATTGATTAGTTTGAGTTTTTATCTTGAGTGACTAGAAATATTTGGGCTGGAAAAGCTTACCTTGAAGTCAATAAAAGTTATTTAGAGTAGAGCAGGACGATTATCAAACGGCGGTTAAAAATGTTTTGTACAAAGGTAGAAAATAAATTCAAGCTCATATTAAAAATTCCTACAAGGGTGATACATGCACGGGGGGGAGCCTATTGTTCTAATTGACAATGGGAGCGAACCTACTTCTAGTGTAATTTTGCCGTGTTTACTTACCAAAAGCCTCTGTGGTCTAGCGGTAGTGCACATTTAACAACTCAAATTAAACGGCGGCTGGTTCCCCCCCAGTCGTCGTTTAATTTAATTGTTAAAGCACATAGGAGGGGTTCCGGCCCCGTTGGTCGCTTTTCTCTTTCTTTTTAATCTTTAAAGAAGCAGAGTTTTATTAAGTTTGAGATCACCGAGAATTTTCCGATAATTTGTTTTTTTCTCGTAAGGAAAAAAAATTTTCAGGAAAAAATTCTTGGAGATTTTAAAAAAAGATTCTGCTTTAAAGAGTAAAAAGGAAGCCACGATAAACAAAGCGGGGTAGTATGGCGCGTTAAGCGCCGAAGTCTTGCACAAAACCACAAAAACACAGAGGCAAACAATTATCAAACGTATGTAAGAAATGCATGACAATATCTGGAGAACGAGAGGATCTTTGCATTATATTTGGTTAAAATTGTTAAATGAGTGCTATCCTAAATAAAATTGTGTTGGGATTTCCCTTGCGAAATATTGAGGGAAAACTAGTGGCTCTGCAAAATGTGCACAATAAAAAATCTCTATAGCCCTTAAAAAATATCACTTAACCTGTAATACTAGGAGAATTTGGTACTTGAGGAAAGATGAAAGAAAGTGATGTTCGCAAAACTCAAAACTTTTGCTCAGTGATTTTTCCGTTTTATTAACACATCAATCTAAATGGTGTCTACTTTAGAATGTAAGGTCACGTGACCGATGTAAATTAGCATAAATCAACAGGGAGGATCATGCCCAATCATGTGAGCAAGTTATGACGAATTATGTGTTTTAGCCTCGTTTTCACGCTGGATTTCATGGGTCAGAATTTAACCCCCCTTAAAAGCCGTCTGAGCAAGTGGCAAAGCTGGCACCAAAAATTTTCATGTTTAGTAGGACCTAATGAACACTTTTACACTAGGTGCTTGCTTTCAGCACGAACTTCACACTACAAATAGCTATTACATTCAACATTTACCTCTTAAAAAGGTATTGAGTTCCGCCTTCAGTGGTGATTAATTAACCTCGAAAAACTCTTAATTGTTGTACAAAGGAGATTGTTTGAGTTGTAAAGTTTTTTGGTTCTCCATATATTTTGTTGTTGGAAAATAGTACATTTGTGGTAACCTCTACTTAGCACTGAATCAGTTTTCTCCGAAACGCTCCAGCATTAAAATTTCTTGTGAAACGTACCATTTACACCAAATACGTCTTTCTTGAGTTTAAAACCTCTAGGTTGTTTAAGCTTTTCCACTTTCACTGGTAGATTATATTTTTTTAACAGCGCAACAAATGGCACCTATACTCCGAAAGTCTAGAATTTTCATTACCCTGTACATTAAGTGCTTTGATGATGGATGTGTTACTTAAAGTCATGTTAACACTAGAAACAATTTCATTAGGAAATGAAATAATGTAAATTTATCTCGATTATCTCATCGTAGTTTGAGAGATTTAGATTATTATTATTAAAGTTTACTTGAAAGTAACAATAGATTTTAATCATCTGTGTTAAATATGAAATATTTCCACGAAATGAGTTTGAAATTTTTTCACCGACACTTTCCTTAGGGAATTATTTCAGTTTTTAGAAGGAAAATACCATTCGGTCTCACAAGAAATACCCGGCTTGAGTTGAAAAGCGATATTTTTCTTAATCATTAAATTCCTTTACCTCCCGACAGGAAGCACATCATTTTTCTAGTATAGAAAGATATCAGACATCCTAAAATAACTTCTTTGCCCTGCCGAAAGCACTTAACTTTTGTTCCCCTTTTTTCCATTTGCTCGAAAAATTCTCCATCAAGATTTATTGTCTGGAAAAAACGACGTCTTGGAGTACCACTTGATCATGAAGAATTGAAAGTATGTCCCATTCTTAACAAGAATATGTAATGACCTTAAAGTAAATTGTCAAAGGTCTACCCTGCAATCAGTATTTTTGTTTGAAATTGTATCTAAAACATTTCACTTTCTATAAGAAAAGTATCATTTTGGCCGAATAATGTTTTTTGAGAATACAAACTTTTCTCAAGCATAAAGTTTCTTTTTAATAATAACGTTTTAAAGGAAATCTTCAAACAGGTTAATGAGATAAATTAATTTGTCATCAAATATGTTCTTAGCTGACGGAAGACTATGGAGTGAAAGTTCTCAATAAACACGATGGAATTTATCCACTATCAAGTCTTAATGAAGAAACATTTACCTCCGGTATATAGAAATTTCTAGATTTTACGTATATGGAAAATATACCTCAAGTGTGGCTGACTGACTCATCCTAAATAAACTCTTCAAATTGAACGTCTCGTGTGATTGTAATGAGAATGTAAAATAATCAACATGACAGGTTCAAAAAGGAAAAATACATTGTTAACCCTTTAACTCCCATGATTTAATTAGTAATTCTCCTTACTGTCTGCCATACAATTTATGTGATGTTAGTTTGGAGAATTCGGAATTGGATCAACCAATAATCCCCTAATTGATATTTTTCTCTATTCTCATTACTTGTCTGCTTGACATCGTACTGATAGTGTAAGAAGAAATTCTGTTCAGGTCACTAGTGGGACTTTAAGGGTTAACTTAAATATTACGTCGCTATTATCATCCAATATGATTAAATATCTAACTAGAATAGATGAAAGGTTTAACTGAAAATGTCGCTGAAGAAACTGGAGCATTGAAACATCGTTCAGGCAAAATAATTTAATTTAATAAAGAAAGGTGTGGATGTCTCCATTAGAAAGAGACTTACCATGGAAGAAGCTGAACTTTAATCAGAAGAGACTTGAACTCAAAAACCACAATTCTAAGCTTAAATCGAACCACTCCAATAGGAAATGAATTGTTAAATCAGGCGTAAGAACAGCTGTGGCTTAGAGAACGTACGAGCTTATTCAACGCTTAAAAATTTTAAATACATGTACAAAAATTTAACAAACACATTCTGACGAATATCTAAAACTCTTTCATCTCAAATGCGTTATCAATAACGTGCTAAGAGTATTTCAAGGTAATTATAATGTAAGGGAATTTTACCCAGAGACGGTCACTGTCTTAAGTAATTCATCAGCAAAGACTTTCTGGAAAGCCTCGCAGCAAACATCAGTAGACATATTCTCCATACTGTTCTCATACATTTCTTAGGGTGCTGAAAAGGAGAATTTATTAAACAATCATGACCTTTTTCAGTTAGTGATCATTTCTTTCATTCTCGTGACCTTAATGCGTGATTCAGTGGTGAAACTGTAAGGAGAAATTAAATGCTAGTCACTCTTAGTGTTCATAAGCTTAAGTTTCCTTGAAGGTTAAATTTTTCCGAACGATTTGCTTCCTAGAAAGGGCCTATATTTGCATTTGCAAGCATGGCACAAAAAGCAAAGACAAACAAACCAAAACCGAAAACATTTCACTCAGAGTCATTTTTAGAAGAAAAAAAGTTTCAAACCTTCCCTGTGAAATTTCACCAGTAAACTTGGTAGTCTTCTTTAAGTGTCATGTGCGTTTAGGATCAATCTTTAACCTTTGCATGAAGAGTTCTTTAATGAAAGGTGACGGCATGTTACTCGTGGCCAGTGCATATATAAAAGAAAAACAGAAGATATTAATGTTTCAACTTCTGGAGCTAAGGGTACAATATTTTATTTTACAATAATATTTAACTTTTTGGATGAAAAGTTTTGAAAAAGAAGTGATTTTATCAGCCTCATGAAAGTCCTAGAAATTTTTTGGGAACGTTGTGGCTGTCTTTATAATAGAAATATTTTCCCAAGAAAGGGAAATATTTTCTTTAATAACTATGATACTACTAGTAATAATGTTAAAATGGTTTTGTATCATAAGGATTTCTTGATTTTGCTATTAGACCCTGAAACAATCACTGAAAAAAGGAAAAGCGAAAACTAAAATTTTTGCCTGAATTAATTTAAAAAAATTTTTCAAAAGCAAAATTTTAAATATTCCAGAATGAATAATGAGTAAAACTCTGAAACGTTCGAACAAACACACATTGAAAACACTCGCAAATCAAATTTCTCAGTGAAACGCTTTGAAAAATACGTTTTAGTTTAGGTCGATGTGAAAGTCTAACTCTGAACTTAATAAGGAATGGTTCGGCTTTGTTTACAAGCGACATTATTATGTCGTACGAAATTGCAATTTGTCTAGATAAACTCCAAAAAGCTAATTATAGTTCAACATGTTCCTAGGTTATCTTCGCTGTTCCATAGAGACTCGTAGCGAATATAGTTTCAATTTAAAAAAAAAACCGGTTTTTTTCCACACAGAGACCTACCTTTAGCCAAACATTCACTCTGCACAATCTCAGACAGTCCATGTCTAGGTTTGTTATAAAAACGTTCTGACTCAAAACGGTATTAAGTTATAAATAATGATAGATTGAAAATATTTACGAAAGTTAGCAGTCTACCTCGTGTATGGAGTTATTTCACATGGAAATTATGTCTACATTTTGTTCTACCACAAACTTTCGAGTAACGTCTGAGCGATTTTAAGCTTAACTTTTCAGTTTTTATTATAATACTATTTCCAATTTGGTTGAGAAGGATCCCCTCTCAACTCAAAACATTTTATCCAGTTTTACGATTTTTTAAATTCCTTCGGCACTGCACTATATTTGTTTGAAAATATTTCTACCGAAAGAAAACGTAATTTATAATAGCTTTGATTTTGCAGTCTTTAAACTTTTGCTACTATCTGGAATATTCCTGGAACTTAGCAAGAAGGGGCGAAAGGCAAACGCAACACCTTAAAGTGTTTATCCATTAATTCATTATTATATGATGCTTGAATCCATGCTAGAAATCGTTAAAGATTTTTTCCTCGTTCTCCAAGTTACATTGTAATGGATTTCTTTGATTTACCAGCAAAACATCAAATTGAAAAACTCACGTTTAGCCGAGTTCTTTACTTCTCTCTGTTCGTTTCCCATTCTCAGTTTCCATTCCTCTTATCCAATAACAGTTTTCATCTCCGTCCATCCATTCTACAAACGAAATAAGTGACTTGATTATTTAAGAGACAAAACAAATAATCGAAAAAATAAGAAACGAAAAACGAAAAAAAGACAAAGTCGAGTGTTTCTTTTTTTTTCATTTAATTTTTTCTTTTGTGAGATAAACTGTCTGATATGTTGTAAACTTATACCACCGGTGATTTATGTGACGTCAACTGGATGGATTATTCGAGAAGTCAATTATGGGTCAGTGTTTTCTAAAGCATCCTCGGTGGTCTCGTTTGAGATCCTCCGCAAAACCAACCAGGCTATCGACAATCAAATAACAACAGCTTGTTCATTAAATCAGATGAAGATTGCCGCTCAAGTTATCAAAACGTTATTGTTATTGTCAACAGTTCGTTTCAAAACTACCCACGTCCCGACCATTACACTAAAATCCCGCGACAAATCCTTGTTCTTGTTCAGAAAGTACATTTTTTAGCTTGAAATGGTGTAAAGAGGGCTCTTCAATGTTTTAATAATTGTAACTACCCTCAACATTTAGTAACTTTTATCTTGCAGATAACAATGCCAGATCAACGAAATAGTGTTTAATAGTTCAAACAATAGCGGCATACAATGAGAATTTTGGCACCTCTCTTTTTGTTGAATTGTCATGAGTTATCTTGAACTACAAGCAATACAAAACATTGAAGAACTCGCGTTTATCCAAGATCTTTTATATCACTCCGTGCATTCCTCATTCCAGCCTTCCAATCCTCTTTTTCAATCAAAGTTTTCACTTCCTTCTCGCGATTCTGCAGATCTCTACACATTATATTCAATGATCAGTTTGTTGTCGCACCCCATGAAATGGCAGTCCGTGCTAAGAATATAGCCTCTAGGGAAAGGAATAACAGTGAAAGATGCTGAATAGTTGTGCTCAACTTTCATTCTCACCAAAACATTAATTGGTAAATTTCGTTACCCACTCCACCTTCCTTTTTTTCCTCTTTTTTTTTTTGCTCAACGAGAGTAGTTTATATGGTTAGTAATAGGGCCGACTTCTCACTTTTCAAGATTCGCGGCGAAGGTACAAATTAGATTTGATAGTTCACATGATTCCGTGACTTACTCTCAACAACAAGTTCGCTGTCTGTGTGATTCCCGCTTCTTCCGTCATTAAATTACCGCAGTGCTAAAGGAAACAAACACGAACCAAACAAAGAAATCATTCAGAATGGAGAAAAAAAATCCTCCTTCTCTTAGAGAATAGCAGTAAAAAGCAAGGTGACCACGCCGCTTATAAGTATTTTAAACATGGCTCTCTCGGTCTGATACATAACTTCCATCTCTGAAATCACTCACCACTGAAAACTGAAAAAATTGCAAATAAATGAGCCTAATTAAAAATCCGCGTACACAAATAAGTTTTAGTGTATCGCCACGCTATACGAGATGACTGTAATAAGCTGAATTTACCCTTGAAAGTGAGAGATAGTCGACATTCTCACCAAAAATCTGTAAAAAAAAACACTCGAGTGGTTCAAAGAGACTGACTCGTGTAAGGTAACTCGATAAGCCTAAAGAACAGAGGCACAAGCTACGTAAAATGCTTGACTGTGAACCAGAGGACAAACACAACTTTACGACGAGTTAAATTTTTAACGTAGAAGCTCTCTCTGGAAACTTTCAGAATCGGCATTTGAGATGAACTTTACTATAAAAGTAAAAGTACAAGAATAAAAAGCAAAGGCTAAGCAAATGACATGGAGATAGATTTTGACTGGACCTTCGAAGAAGAGAACACTGTAAAACGCATTTCTCTCTCACCTCATTTAAAGCTACTAGTATCCTGCAAAAGCACAACAGTATCTCCAATTTGGGCTTCTGAGTCTGAGGTAAGGAAGCACTCATTTCAAAATACCTTTCGACGCAGTTACAAGCGATGGAAGCAGTAGAGTACGTCGAGTTTCCGTTCAAAGCAGCAAAACACTGTAACTCCATGGACTGCATGTCACAGGGACTCAAGGTGTGAGACAAAAATGAATGAATAATTAATTTTTGAGGCAACGTTCATCTCGCCCTTTGCTCCCTGCATATATTAATCACTAAAAGTTCTGAGGGTTTCATATTTGCCTAGTGTTTGCTAGGATGACATTTAAAATGAAGGGAGGAAGAGAAATTGTTTGAATGGATATTTTGCTATAAATAAACATTTGAAATCAGTTTTGTAGTTGGGCTCAAAGTAAAATCGACGATGTCCATAAGGCTCTCTCCTCTCTCTTAGGGTACTGCCATTTTAAATTTTCGTTCGTTGCCAGTCTCCTTTCGTCAAAAACGCCAGAGGAACAACCCAAAAGGGAGCACGAGTCCGAGACAACAACGGATGCAAATTTCCAAAGAGAGACGAAATCGTCTAAAAACAGACGCAGGTGCCCAAAAATTTGACGAAAGTGTGAAAAAAGTAGCGGATCTGTCCAAAACCGAAATTAAACGAAAGTAGACAAAGTACCCAGATTCGGAAGAGATCATCCGCAAGGAATATGTTTATCTCGTCAAACAAATAACTTCGAGCTTAACGATGTCATTAATAAAATTAGACAAGGTCATAACTATACAACGTCATGAAATTAACTTCGTCTTTTAAGTTAACGAAGTCATTAAGAAGCAAAACGAAATCCTCAAAATTAACGCACTAATTAATCAAAACTATGACAAAATTTGAGAAAGAAACCAACCATCGGTTATACGTTTTCATAAGAAACAACTCAGTGAAATGCACAACGGTGCGCGCATTTGACACGTAATGTCTAATTACACAGGCATGATGTCTACGCTGTCCAGTTAGTGCTCAAATCGGACTGATAATCAATCATGTCCGAGAATTCTGTTATAGTTTTGATTGGTTTGATAATAGCTTCGTTAAATTTTTATGACTTCATTAAGTTGATGACGTCAAATCACTAATTACAATGACTTCATAGTCACATAATGACGCATGACGTATATGCCCTACAACTGAGTTAACTTTTAAGGATTTTGTTTCCTTTTCGTCGAAAAGGACAATTCAGTGATCAAACAAGCGAAGAGGGAGGTTAACCATGACTTTCACGGCAAAAGACAAAGACAAAGATGACCAGGTGAACAATTTTTTTCCGCCATATTTGACGCCGTTTGCTCTCTGCCGTTTTCAACGTGAAGGAAGGAGGTTTCACGTTAATGAAAACCGTGAGTAAAAAGTGCGTTCTTTTAATGAGTTTGTAAAGCATTAGCTATCGTGTGCTTCGAGGCAAAGCTTCTTTACTTCTTCTAGGAGGTAAAACAAGTGTCTTGTCTTGACTTAATCGGGAAATTATGTAGAAGGATAACATGTTACTTAATAGACAAAGTCTTGTTTTTGTAGGATAGTCATAAAAGTAAACTGCATCATAACCCTAATTTAATATATATTTGGTTACTCTTCATAAAATCCAAGGTGTTTATAATCTACCTTTCACTTTCTAGAAGGCAAATAACAAACACTAAATTGTTCTTCAAAAAGAAGAATGTTACAAACTTACTGCCAGCCCGGCAGTCCATTAGTAAACTCGTGGCGATTCGAGAGACTAGTTTCTTAAAAAAAAACCCTGTTGTTTGAATCATTTATAACATCTAGTGCCCTTAACCAATATCTACGAAGAAAGGTTGAAGTACGAGATATATTTTTTTCAAGCGCGAGAAGTCAATTTTCCTTCCAATAAATGAGAAAAATAACACAAAAATTAATCGCTGCTCTAAAATTGAAAAACTCTCACAATAATTGCATGCTGTCCTATAAATTTCACTCATGAAGCTATCCGTAAGTTGTTGTTCAGTAGCCAATCATTCTTCGCCATCCCAGTAATTCTCAGGAACTTCCTCCGGCTGGAACATCCACGCCTGCATGAGATAACGGTGGCGTATTCCAATATTCTCAATCGCTTTCATGTCATCCTCATCTAAGTTTACATGAAGTGCTTCAAGGTTCTCTTTGATGTGGTTTTCAGAGACGGCTTTTGGGAGGACTGGAGTGTTACGCTTGATACCCCAGGCTAAAGCGATCTGTATTCCAAACAAATAAAGATAAGAACTTTTAAGTCTTAAAATCCCAAAAAAGCCCCCCCCCCCCCCCACACAAAAATAGCTTTAAAATAGCTTAAAAACTTATACACCTCACACTATAATGCTCTGCTTCATGCCAGCTCTTGTTTTTCTTTGGATTAGAAAATCTCAGAAAACCCTTCACGTTATAATATTCACATAAAACATATTCAAAAGGCAAGAGCGATCTAATAAAATGAATTTCTTCGTCAATTTTTCCAGAGAATCAAAAACCAAGAATTTGGTAGAAAATGTGTTAAAAGTGTAAGGAGAAGTTCTATTTTAATCACATTTGAGAGATTAAGGTTTATGATACTGAATAATTGGGCCAATTATCCATAAGCCACAGCAAAGTAGAGTTCTATAGATTATACTTGTGAACAGCAGAAGAAGAGGCAAACTCACCAAAGCAGAAGTGGTGCCATGTTTTTCAGCGATTTTCTTCAACACAGGATTTTGCAGTATCACAGGTTCAGAATCTTTGTTGGCAAAAGGACGATCAGGAGAGCCCAGAGGAGAGTATGCCGTCACAACAATGCCTAAAATGCATAAACAATATTCCTAATCGTACCAAATAACATATCAGTATCCAGAGGGAAACTGGAAGAATTGGAGACTCACTGTACAGCAATCTATAAAGTATTTGTAACAGTAGTATACAAATGATACAAAACAGTGAACATGATACATTAATATTTATAATTTGTGGCAGGCTAAATTCAGGACAATCTGTGCTCTGGAGATTATTGAGATGCGCACACTCTGATTAGTCATTGATTGCATCATATAACGCTATAATCACCTTACGCGAGGTGATTATAGTAGGGGAATAGTGGCGGGGAGAAGGCTAAATTTCAAAATGGCTGCCTCGCCTTTTACTGAGGAAGTGACTAAAGCAACAGAAAAAATACAATTTTGAAGAGCACAAAAGATGCTACTGAGTTTGGCAAAATACTTTTCCAAAGAAAGATATGAAGTTTTCACTGATTGAATTTAGTAAACCTGTTAAATTCGAGTGGAAACTGGCTTCTTTTCTCAATACAAGTAATAAAAAAAAAATTGTAACAGAATGGTTTCAACAGCAAAAAAGTTTCAACAGAACTCAAAAGCACCTAAGCAATTATACTAAACCAATTATTCACCTCAGGCTTGATAAATATTGTTGAATAATCCCTTCAACTTCGTCTTGGGGATAATTCAACAATATTCACTTCAACTTTGGTGAATAACTGTTAACTAAGGCCCAATATTTTATACACTCAAACAATCATCCCTGAAAGCCAAGTGATCAGAGGAGCCTCCATTCCTATGTGAACAGTGCCAGCACAACACAGGAAGAATGCCACATATTTGTTCACACTTACATGTAAGATAATTTTGAAAAACTTTAATGCCCTTATGTTCTTGTTTGTCTGCTTATCAATTTTCCAAGATATTTCACTATACCAACAGTGCACTATGTTTAAATTGTAATGAGGTTAGAGATCAGGAAATCAGCTTTTCTGTCTTTGAAGTTCAAGAAAAGGTAATCACAAGTCATCAAATAGACTTAATGCATTCAATTATGAACTAACCTTTGTCAGCACTAAACTTCAATAGTTGTGGCTGAGGTAAATATGGATGTAATTCCACTGTTAGACAAATCACAGAAGGGAAAAATCAAATTTTGGGCAAAGTACATAAGATGCATGAAAAATAAGGCAGACACCACCCATCTTGTACAAAAGATTGTATTCTTGAATTCCCAACACATATTGAAAAAAAAAATAGAAAATTACTGTACACTTTCTGTTAAACCTCCAAACTTAATTTTAAAGACAGTTGCAATGATAGTAATTAACTGAACAAACTGAATTTTGCACATCTGACAGAAGAGTCACAAACTTTGAAAAAATGTACATCTATGATTAACAAGCTTGCAACTTGCTTTAATATTGATTATAGGGGGGTAGAGGGGGAACTCATTGAAGATAACAATTTAGAGAGAGAATGACACTAATTAGAAACAGAGATTTCATTTGCCTTGTATTGAGAAAGTTATATCTGTTATTAGGGATGAATTCTTCCTTGAACAAAAACTGCCCAGCCAAACCTCCATCATACAAATGAGAAAATAAATGTAATTTAATCTTAAAAAACAGGCAAATAAAAAAATATCAAACACCAGCATACCTTGATTACAAGCTGGAACTATTCTGGCAGTTTCCAAAAGAGTTTTTGTCTTCTTAATTGTAAAATTTGAGATGCCAATAGCTTTACAGAGACCTTTGTCCACCAGCTGCTCCATTGCCTTTTAAGTGGTAGAAAGGAAAAACATTTATTACATTATATTACTGGCCAAAGCATGTTATTTTCATCAAATTCCACAAGGCTACAACTTTGTACATCTCCTCCTTCAAAGGTTATAAAGGCTCTACCATCTGAATATAAAATGGACCAGTCCTGAGAACTGACAGTACTGGTTCTGACCAAAGTGGCTGTGCTCTATAACCCTTTACACCCTGACATCAGAATACATATTCTCCATACTGTTCTTTATACATTTCCTCTGGTGCTTATGAGGAGAATTTTATCAACAGTCCAGAGCTCCCATGCATAGTTGGTTTTATACTTATGACCTTGCAGTTTGATTTAGCAGTTACACTGGACAGAGAAATTAGCTGCTACTCACTCTTGGGGTTAAAGGCTAAACCTTTAACTCCCAAGAGTGACCAAGACATAATTTCTCCTCACAATATTAATAAAATATCAACCAGATAAACAATAAGAAATTATAGAGAAAATTAAATATCCATTTGGAGATGATGAATTGTGTGGTTGACAGTAACAAGAATTACAAATTTGATTGGGGAGTTAAAGGTTTAATATCAACTCCTGCTTGGGTTTTTTGCAGAATGCCTGGAGCATAGGGTACCAGATAGTTGTGGTGTTGTAATATTGTCACTTAGATCCTTACTGTGTTTAAATCCTATAATGCTGTTGTGTGATTAAAGTGAAGAAAGTTGTGCTTTAACAAGAGAATCTTCTAGAGACATGTCCTTCTCATACGATGTAAGAGAAAGCTCAATGTTGCACACACACATGCACTCACAAATAAAGGATATCACTCCTATTACAGTGTAGGTGGGATCATATAGTTTATATTTTCAGTTCAGCCAAACTTGGTCAAATCAAAGCATTGTTAGTAATGATACCAACACACTTATACTATTATGAGTAGCCTTACCTGCCAAGTCTTGGCCATGCCTTCGGGTGAGTAACCTATCACCCCTTCTGCCTTGGAGTGAGGAAAAGGGACATCTTTTTTGAAAGCAAGGGGGATGTGGATCTATTGAAAAATTGTTGAAATTAACACTGGAATATTAAAGGGGGCGCCTCTTCAGAAATGCTCAAGGGCTTGTTCCACTGGGTTAGGGATTGATTCAATAAAATCTTACAAGTTTGAGACCAGACTAACATTTCATATTGAGATAAATAAAGATAGATACATGTAGATCTCTACTGAGTCTGGTAGAAATTAGCATTTAGAAGGAAAATCCCTCATAGCATTATACATGAAGATTTTAAAAGAACTTTACCAAGAAAAATGACAGGGGGGAAAGCATAGTCTGGATAAGTTTTATACTTACAAGATACAAATCCAAATACTTCAACTGCAGATTTTTCAGCGTTATCTCACATGCTGGTAAAACATCCTCAGGTGCCTGACTATTGCACCTAATTTTTAAACAAAATAATCAAGATAAAACTGCAGTATAAACCAGTAAAAGTCATAATACTATTTCTTGGAAGTTATTCCTTTAAATCAAGCATTTAATCTAATGAACTGTGTCACACCATGTCTACAATAGTGAAATCTTACCCATGGGTTATTTGTGAAAGCTTTAAGAAGCATAAACAACACTCTAAGATAACTAATATCCATGACAAAAATCAAAACCATCAAATTCATGCAACATTACCATATGCCTTGCCAAACATTACAGCTACTTACAGCGCATATCAGAAATAAACATCAGAGCCCAGTTGTTCAAAGGATGGATAACTCTACCTGACTGATAAATTGTTATCCAGCAGATAAGTGTTTACAAAACATACTGCACTATCCACCAGATAAAGATTTATCCAGCCGATAATGATATCCACCCATTGAACAAATAGTGAAAGTTTAGAAACTTATTATTTACCAGAGCTTTGATGTAATGAAGATATCTTCACGTTTCACTTTTCCTTCTTTAAACACCTCAGTAAGACTCTCCCCTATTTCGTCTTCATTTTGATAAACATGTGCACAATCAATATGTCGGTACCCATACTGCAAAGCAAGCCTGACTGCCTGTCCTACTTCACCTTTCTTGGATTTCCATGTCCTGTAGGAGTACCCAGTAAAACCAATCATACAAAAACCTCACATTAAGTTAACATTTAACATACTCAATATTAATTTGTTGCAATAAGAAAGAGATAATTTGAAAAGTCAAAAAAAAAAAAAATTGTGAAAACCTTGCCATGCTCCATTACCGAGAGAGGTGCTAGTTTGAGCCCCTCCCATTGCAAAAACTAATAGACCCTACAGGAAGGCAACTTCATTCAAATTGAAAATGAAGACATCAACAGTATTTCCTGCTTGCCTTGTCTCTAATAGCTTCCCTCCAACTTCAAAACTTACAAAACCCTGTTAACCCTTTAACTCCCAGAAGTGATTAACATAAAACTTCTCCCTACAGTATCCACACATTCTTCAGCAAACAGGTAATGAGAATATTCAAACTTATCAGGTGGAAGCTGCTATCTTAATATTCTGTTTATAACAGGCTGAACCTGGAAAATATGCAAGCAACAAGGACACTTTCAATGGAACCATTAAGGCTTATAGCGTATCAAAACCTTTTTTATATAAATAACCCTCTGCCGTTCATGGAACGTGATTTAGGCGCGACAACCTTTTTTTTTAGTTCTCCTCTGTAACCTCTCCATCACTTGTATGGACTTAAGTTTAAGGGAGATTTTCATATTGTCAGGAGTCAAACGTATTTAATAAAAAATGATACATTTCAGAAAGTAGAGTACTGTAAACCAGTTTGCATTGAAAGTGTGCTGGATTGAAAATGTCTGTAGTCTCACTATTTAGTTTTCGTTGCAGTCCCTGGAGGACAACTGCACAGATACTTTCTTGTACAGTACACCTTCAAGAGTGGCCAGGAACATCCTATTCCGAAATGCCTCAAGGGAATTCCAAGAAAAAAGAGATGCCATATGTTCGCACAAGAGATCAGCTGAAAATTGTCGCAGGGGAAATGAAACCTAAAGAAGCCCTCCATCACGTAATAAACAGATGGCCTTGGTGGTCTACAGTCCTGTGTGGGATTAAGTCAGGTTCTGCGAAATCGACAGCAAGTAAAAGATATGGCAAGGCGTAAAGCTATCAGCAAAGGAAGTTACCCTAAAAACATGTCAGGCGCAGGAAGACCCTCTGACCCGTGGTATATGTTACTAAATAAGAGCAAGATCCAAGGAAGGGACCCAAAGACTGCATTTATTTGTGAGTCAGAGTTGGAGCTGAGCCTTTCTGCGTCGTGGGAACGAACAGACAGCTGGATGATCTGAAGCGATTCTGGTGTAATCCGGTGGAGTATTGGCCTTTAACCGTGGACCCAACGTTTGATTTTGGTCCATACAATGTCACACCGATCTCATACCAGCATCTCATAGTTCTTCGCAGTGAAGACGGTAAACACCCAACAATGATTGGCCCAGTGCTTCTACACGAAAAGAAGACACAATCCACGTATTCGCTCTTTGGTGGGACCCTGAAGTCTCTTGAAACTGAAGAATCTAATGGCTTTCGGGACAGATGACGAAAAGGCGTTGGGTTTTAACGAAACCTACGAAAGAGCTACTCATCTGCTTTGCGAAATCCACCTTCACAAAAATATAGACACAAACTTTGTGTCTATGGACATTAAAGGAGAGAGTAAGCAGAGTATAAAGGATAATATTTTTGGAAGAAAGATAGGCAGCATTTTTGGGAGTGGACTGTCAGAAGCAGGAAGTGCAGAACAATGTATTGGCCTATTTGAAAGTCAGGAGGAAAAGTGATCATCGCTCCACTCAATTGGAAAAGCCTTCCACGCTTGGTTTGGCTCGAAAAAAACCGAAGGATTCATACGCAGCGTTATTAGTCCCGTCCGTCAGAGAGCTGGCCTCGGTTGCCCACCAGACAAATTCACAACCAATCGATCTGAACGCAAAAACGGTGTCCTTCAGGACTGCGTAAAGGGTGAACGCGGAACTGCCAAAATTGACGAATACACCCTAGTAAAGACCCTCGAGAAATTAGTGAATAGCCTGGGGCAAGAACTGGAGTTGGCTGTATTGGACAAAGGAGAGTACCAACTTCGTCCAGAGTTCCGCCACCTAGTTGTTACAGGCGACAAATGGGCCAAGATGACAAACGACCAGAGAAAAGAAGCCCTCTCGCGCGTTCACCACCTTGTTCTTCAAGAAACTTCTCCTAACAGTGTAGCCTCTGTGAACAAAAAGTTAGTGGAAGGCGAGTCTGCTGTTTTCCAGCAGATTCTTTCTGCTGAGGTAGACTGGATTACCCCAGACGTTTTATAGCTCATTGCGCACAAAGGAGAAGCATTGTTAAAGGAAGGAAAAGTAACAGAGTTACTGGCAGCCTCAGCATACGACACCCTCATCATTCCCTCAAAATCAAAGCCCACGAAGCCGCATATCATCTTCGTGTACCCTAACGGAAAGGTAGCCTGTAAGGACTGCCAAGGGTACTCCGCGTCCTATTTGCGTGCTCATGCTGTCGCTGCTTCATTAAAAAGAAGAACCCTTGAGGCATATTTGAAGTGGCTGGTGGCTAACAAGCGTAAGACTGGTAGGCTTAACTACAGCAAAGCCATCACCTTTGGAATGCCAGCTGGAAGAGGCAGGAAGGTAGAACTACAGATATAATCCTCCTCATATATATTCCTACTGACGTTCTGAGCGAAATTAAAGAATTGCGAGCCTAAATCACAAAAATTTGGAGCTGCATGCACTGTTCGCAAAGTACAAATACCTCGAATACCTTGCAAGAACTTGCTGCTACAAAGAAAGATAACCAAGCCTCAACATGAGTTACATGCCACCAGAGTTCGCTGCCTCGAGCCACAGAAGGAATTAATAGGTACTCGAGAGGAAAGAGATTCGCTCAAACGAGCACTCCAAATAGTTTCCAAAGAATCGTATCAAAACCCATCGGTCACACGACCTCATAACAACCGTGTCGATACGGGGCCCTAGGATGATTCTATTCTGCCTTCGACAGACACAAAGGTTAATAGGAGACGTTCGCAAGCGTAAAATTCGTCAGCAAGCCAACCAGATACTGCACGAACAAATACAAATACAGATGATGGAGCCGGGACTACACAACGCAAGCAAAGAGAAGTTTTCATATTAGAAGACTCCATCTTGAAGAATCTACAAGGGGGTAAAATATCCGGTACTGCTAAAGTAAAAATTTCTTCATTTCCAGGTTTTTCTATGCAGGACATGAGAGACCATATTAAATCTATATCACGGAAAAACCCGGACGAAATTGTAATCCATGTTGGCACTAACAGTCTTCGACCTTCAGAGACTTCCCTGCGTGATTGTGGTGAGGACATTAGTAATTTAACCCACATGATAAACGAAGAATCTTCAGCTGAACTGACGACATCAGACCTTGTTTCAAGATCTGACAACGAGAATCAGGCGTTAAAGTATCTAGCTTAGACAAGATACTAAGAAAATTCTGCAACCAGAATTTCTGGGGATATGTCGACCATTCAAATATCTCTGTCGATCACGACCTGAATAGAAGTGGTCTCCTCTTGAACACAAGAGGACTGCTCGTCTGGCGTCAAACTTTATTAAGTATTTAAGAGGAGATTAGAATATTGTCGAGTGGGAATCTAATGAGTGTATGTCTTCCAGGGAGTCCTGCGGCAATAAGGGTAAACCATCGAAACCGGAATTTAATGCATTTGGTCGCGGTTTTGTCATGGCATCACTTATTATAAATAGTTTTACTCGCCCATATTGACGACCTTAAGATATTTATGAGTAGTTCAAAACTCGATGTATTAGCGATCAATGAGACCGAGCTTGATAGTTACATCAGTGATTCAGAAATAAATCTACCGGTATTTGACGTCGCTAGAAGGGACCGTACCGTGAACAGGAGATGTAATGGCGGTGCATGTGTTTATTTACGAAACAACATAACGTACCGTGTTTGGGAGGCCTTCAAAGATGACCAACTTGAAAGTTTTGTTATCGAAATCACCAGACCGCATTCCAGGCCTTTTTTAATAAGCATATGCATGGTATAGACCGCCAAGTTCCCAAAAAGAAATTGTTAATCGATTTGAAAACCCGGTAGATAAAATTGATTTAGAACGCAAGGATTTCTACCTACTCGGAGGCCTGAATTGTGACATGTTGCATGATCGGTCAAACAACCATACTTCGTCGCATTTAACGAACATATTTGATATTTACGGATTGTGTCAAATGATTTCTGAACCAACCAGGATTACACCGATATCACGAACACTGATTGGTCTTGGTTCATCTTGGTATTAGCAATCATTCATTTGTGTTCATGACGATAAAAACACGCTATGAACGTGTTGATTCGTACTGCTCTGTTGAAACTCGCATTTTTAAGAATTTTAACACCGACAAGTTTTGATATGACTTCGTGTAATAACTTTGGTATTTAATTAGCATGTTGACGAAATTTGTAGAAAGGTATCTTCCGCAATAGGTTTTTTTTAGACGTATCAGGCCTCTAACTTCCGAATCTACTGCCATACCAGTTAACAACACCCTGATCCAACCTCACTTTGATCACTGTACCTTCGTTTGGGACATGTTAAGTACTCAGTTAAGCAATTAACTACAAAAATTACAGAACCGAGAAGCCAGAGCAATTTTAAAGGCCGATTACGATACTAGCAAAAACCTGCTTCTCGAAATACTTAATTGGGACCGACTAGAAATAAGGACAAAGAAACAAAAGACGATAATGATGTTTAAATCCCCAAACGCCAAGCTCCAATGAATTTGCGGGACCTATTTAACGAGCGAAGCACAAACTATGATTTGCGTAATTCTTTTGGTAAACTGACGCAGCCAAGGCCACGTATTAATAACTTAAAACGCAGTTTTAGTTCCAGCGGTTCTCTTATGTGAACTCATCACCTGAGAACGTTAGAGAAATCAGATCAATAGGTGAATTTAAAAAGCGAATTAACTGTGTATTTGAGTCATTGGGATTCTCACTCGGCAATCTTGTACAGTATTTTGATAATTTTAACCAATTTAATTTTGTAAATAGATAGATCTGGACGCTACTGTTTTTACTGA